TCTCTTTGCTGAAAACATCACAGCTCCCTGCCTGAGTGCTTCTTCTCTCAAGAGCCCTCGGGCCTGGTACAAGCAGTGGGCGGGCTCTTGGGGAGGAGTTATGCAAATATCGGAATGTCGTGATGGGCGGGTGTCAGTCTGGAGGAGTGGGCGGTCCTAGGCACATGTATTTGGGTAAAAACTACATTGTATCAGAGACATGGATACATTGTAACGGAAGTAATCGTTACCACGAGGGTCAGGTTTTTCAAAATCCATTCTCTGGGGGGGGGCCCCCCATCTCGAGTCTCGGGCCCCTGCTCGGTGTGATCTGTGCTGGGGGAGGGGGGGGCAGCTATTTCATTGTCTCCTTCGGTTGGTTGTTTGGATGAGTGTTCAGTCCCCCCCTCTGAGCGCGGCAACGTGCGATTCATCCGTCTGCCCCCATCTGTAGAGTTCTGAGGAAAGGTCAGAAGCTCCAATAAGTTCTCATAGCCGTCTGTGTCTTTGGGGAGATTTCGCATCACTTCCTGTTTGGTGTCTGGGACAGGAAATGACGACACAGATAGAAGTGGATGCTTGTATGAGGTCCTTAGTCAGGGGTAGGCAACCTTGGTACTCCCGCTGTTGGGGAACTACAAGTCCCATGAGCCATTGCAAGACTCTGGCAGCCACAGGCATGACCCCCACAGAAGCTGAGGCATGATGGGTTTTGTAGTTTCGGCACAGCTGGAGGGTTGTAGTTGCCTTCCCCTATGTACTCCAGGAATTGGCTGGGAGTTCCAGGCGAGAGACAATTCCAGGGACAGCAGATCAGAGGAAGAGACTCTGGCTGTGTCCTCCGGGTTGGGGGTCCCCCTCCCAGATGCCGAGAGACAGACAGCGGCGTCCTCCCCAAATATGGATCGGGCGGCGGCCTGTAACCGGAGAGCGGGAAACGCGGCCTAATGAGAACAAGATCCGTCCCGGGTGATTCACTTCTCTCATCCTCTTTACTCATTATTCACCCCAAAGCCTGTGTGAGAAGCTTCCGTCGGATGCTGCCGTACTCCCTTCTCCATTGACGCGCTGTGTTTCATGGCTGGGCGTGTCTGAGTCCCCTCCCCCAACTTCCTCCAAAACATACCGGAAGGTTTATTAGAGTGTCAGCTCCTCTGTACAGAGACTGATGTGACCGGCTCAGTGTACAGCGCTGCGGTATATGTCAGAGCTATATACCTGTGTTCTCT